CAGGGAATACACCAGGAATAAAAAGTTTGCAGTCGATCGGAGTAAATAATGAATGAAGTCATTAACGTTAGTTCTTCATTGCTTTAACATGATTGTTTTTAAACTACAGCATATACCATTTAATGAGGAATCTCAATTATTGTGTTTCATAAAATCAATTTTGTGAAGACAAATAAACAGTGCAGTGAAATGTCTAAGGGAATTTTAAGGTGGATCAATTCAATTTCACACCATAAATCCATCATTCTATCTATCAACCTTAATGTGAACCTAAAAAACAAGAAGTAAAGTACAATATTATATTTCGAAGTTTGTCACTCTAGTGTTGAGTCTGTAGTTGGTATATTTCCAAGTATGTATTTAGATAAAAAGCATACAACCAGCGATTTCACACAAACTTATATGTTTGAGATAACTTGCAAGGCACCTTACAAACGACTTATTCACAATACAAACAAAAGACAATACACAATTGACACCCAAACATTACAACTAAAAACATCACACCTAAATCACACATCACAACTAAAAACATTTCACTTCACACTAATTCACAATGACAATACACAATTGACACCCACACATTTCCTCTACACATAATACAACAATGACGTAAGAACCAGATAACAAATACGGCTAACCTGACGTTTACTCCTCATTTAACTATGAAGATGACTACTGCTTAAGATTGTTGAAACGTCAGTCAACAACAACAAAAACAGTCCTTCTCAGGACTATACCAACCTGGACGATCTACATTTATAAACATGTAATTACAGATCTTGACATTTGTTTTTGCCGGAGTTTGTTATCTAATAGTTCTTGACTCCTATAGTTTTAACTTTCGGTTAGCGTTGGCAAAGCTCCGATTAATGTCAAGGTCGCAAACTGTCCAACAATGTTTTTTATACTAACCAGTGGCGTCTACAGGATTTTCAGGGTGGGGAGGGCACAAGGGGCGGGGGATGATATCGAAATCTTTCTTTGCTATTAGTATAAATTTTTTGTCGAGATGTTATGATGATTTTGTTATTAAGATAAATTCTTAATTGTGATTTCACAGCAGGAAAAACGTCAAATAGCTAAATATTGTTGCATTTAATTAAGTTTAAAGTTTTATAATTATATCATGTAAACATATTGTCTTCGAGTTATAGCCATCATGGATTTGATATTATATGTCATTCCAACTGAGAGAACAAGTTATTTTCAACGTTCTATCTTTCTTCGATTTTCAATCTTGTCTTTGCATAACATAGTGTTTTGACTAAAATTGCAATGATAATTACCTTCCTTTTAAAATATTAAATTATATAAAGGTATATTAATCACCATTTTTCACTGCTTTATGTAAACCTGATTTACTCAACTCAACGTTTAGAAACGTCAGATTGAAGATCACCAGGATACAGAAAATCTTAGTTTTTCAATTCAGTAGAGTAGAGGCAGATTACAGTCATGACGAAACGTATACTCAGCCAACTTTATTGTGACATGATCAACGATTCCCATCGTTGATCGGTGTAGGCTCATTCAAGCGTCGCTTATATTCAATCGTATTTAGGCTCATAACCTATTGCATTTTAACTATTTCACTGGCAATTGAAAATAAATATATTTTATATTAAAATAAGCAAAAAATTACATTACACGACACAAAACGTTCGATAAACGTTTTTAAATTATATAAATAGTAACGTGATAGTAGTTTCTTTTGGTCATTGTGATCAATGACTGATCGTCGTCACAAAAGAGAGCACCAGTGTTTCTTTCAAGTGAACTGAGTTTTAATATCTGGTATCATGTTGGTGACAACGTAAATTGATTCATCCCAAGATAAAAGCCGAATGATTAATACTGTGTGATCATCTTTTCTGACAATAATATAGTTTGTGCGTTTAATAATTTATCTGCATTTTCACTTGTGCTTCCATATCATTGTCATAGAAAAAATTTTGCTATGTTTATTTATGGTAAGAACCGAAAAAAAGCTCTGTTCAAAGTTGTATACATATATATATATCTCCATCTTTACTTGTGGTGATAGAGTAATGGGCGGCGAATAAAACATCCATTTTATACAGAGCTGTTTTAAATAATAAAATAGAGACTTTGTCGTGGTGAAAAATCTGAAAATAGTTCTAAAGATAGCAAATACCATAGTGAATGGTAAAAGTACTTTAATAAGTTGATAGCTCTTAAAAGAACTGTTTTAAGTTGAGTCGTTGTGTCGTGAATTTGGAACTATTGGGTAGGTGCTCTTTACTAAACACAGTTCTTTTAAGAACTATCAACTTATTAGATTACTTTTACCATTCACTATGGTGTTTAATATCTTTAGAACTATTTATAGTTGTTTTAGTTTGTATGTAGCCATCGCCTCGATGAATTTTTCCTCGCTGGAATAATCAATCAGACTGTGTAAAATGTTGTCTGAAGATTTGAACGTTGAGGGAGATAAATTTTACAGAGATATAGGCTCTTGGCTATCAAAGCAAGCATATATGACGCTATGCGACTAATTTGGCTCTTACATGTATTATGAAAATTTGCAAAAAAAATTAAGTATTTTAAAGAGCGTTATTTCAACACAACAAAGTCTGTAAAACTTACTGCTAATATTGTCACCTTCTACTTCATCGCCATTGCTTTTAACGTCAAATTACAACCATTAAGACAATATCAACACTGTTTCGCATGTCCATGTAGATAATAAAAACTTTAAAATGCAAGCAGTTGAAAGAAAACAAAAAAATTTTTGTTCTCTTTGAAAGGACAGGAATGGATTTTAAGGAATTTTTTGAACTATGGTGATTCAGTTTGTGTATGAGTGAATGCGTGCTTCCTATACTATAAAGACATCAACTGTTGAAGTTGAAGAAGCAGCTGAATAGCTGCTGTTCAGTCAATACAATTATTTGTGACTTGCTCACAGCAACATTTTCTCCTTTCGTTTATATTTTTCTATATAATATATACATAAAAACTGACAGAAAATTATTTCATATATTTTGTGTTGTTTATATCCCTCCCATCCCGCCCATAAATTCATGCATTGTCTGGCGAAACGCTTTGTACGTAATTTTATTACAACTATTTTTCTGGCACCTTTTTATACCATTATAAATTATACCAAAATAATCACGTTGTGTTATAAATGGGCAGTTTTGTAGCAGCGCTTTTTTGATTGCAACAGTGACACAAGAATAACTGAGAGTAGATGGATGTTGTTGTGTAAATTAGTGTAATCTGTATGTACATTTTTTTAGATCATATTTCTTTGAAAATAAAGATTTTTAGCATAATATAATACACGTCAATAATAACAAACGATTCTAACCCCCCTTTCTCCTCCGAAAGCGTGGCTTTAGTTTTACAGTTTGCTGAATTCTTTCAAAATTTTCTTAATTATTGAAGAGTTTGAACTCATTCCCGGCCTTCAAGAAGTAGAGCACACGGTATGTATGCTCGTTATAAATGATCTTCAGAGTGTCCCAAAAAGCCCCGTACAAATAATTGCGTATGCAATAAATTGAAATCTGCAATAATAAAATAGTCTGCAATTCTTGACTTGAAATTCAGCCATGTCGGTGGTCTAATACAAAGAATATTTTATCAGTGCTATTGTTGGCACCAGCCGAGGCGGGCGAGCAACATTGTTTGATAAATCTCAAGAGAATGGTTGCAAGTCAAGAATAGTTATTTGTTAAGCCAGTTTAATTTAGTCACACTCTATGTTTTTTCATAGTCGATGCAACGTATCGAAAATATGACTGTATTTTGGTGGCAGTTATTACTCAGTTAATGTCACTTTCATTTTAAAAAGCTTTTGAGGCAAAAATCAGTGTATGATATTAGTACTGTTTTGCGTTGACTGATACTTCGCAAACTCCATCAAAAATTCACAGGAAAATTTGGAGCCCAGAAATTTAATTGGGATGGCAAAATAAAAAAAGATTTCTGGCGCGTTTTTAGAATATGAAACTATCATATATTTCATATAATTACAATTTTTAACTCGTCTCGGCGAGGCGAGTTCACCCGTTTAAGCAGGACAATTCGCCTCATGTAATCGGCCCTTATACGGCATATCATGCATATATGAATATGCCCTAGCCCCCAATTATTGCTCTAGCTACGTGCCTGGCAAAGGGCCAGAACTGTCAAGTACATTGCATTATTGGGCGCAATAATGGCAGTGCATACAATACTTTCACGTGGGTTCTATTTTTTGGGGGGTAGGGGGACGTTCTGTATATATAACGATTCTTTTATTGTAACGAGTATATAAATAGCTTTATTTGAAAAATAAAGTTTATGGATTCATTGAAACTGCGTTTGGGGAATCATTATGAGCTTTGCACGTGGCAGAATTGAGCTTCCCCGGAAATGTTAATGTATGCATGCAGTATATCAATAGTTTGCTGTTTAAATCCATATTTTAAAAGTCAAGTTAAAGTCGACTATTTCGTGTATTTCAAAAATGTTTTATTCGTTTAAGGGACAATATAAAGAAAGGATGGATTATTGAACAGACATCGATTAATACGTCGACAATCCACAAAGACTGAAGCATTCATAAGCATAACATGCATGGGGTTCTGTCTAGGAAAAATTGTTGTGATTTTATGTGTTCTCTGGTTATGGTCGCCAATGTTTATGTGATTCAAATTCTTATTGTGATGGTTTCCAACTTCTTGAAGCCAAAATTAACGAAAAGAACCATCGAGGTAAGTACTCACTTTATATATCTGCCTTTTGACTGTATAAGCTCATGCATATATATTTGATGCTAAAGCATTTGTTTTTGTTTCTGGTGTTGATATTATATTAAACCACGACCCTTCTTATACTTAAAAATTAATATATAACACAGACTTAGAGCAAAGGTAATTACTTCGTTTGACTCAGAATGACCATTTTTTTGTTTATCTCTACTGACAATTTGTTTTGTGTTCCTCATTTGTTTTTACGTTTAAGCGATTTTTTCGTGGAAGCTGTATTTTTAAAAGCAATTTATTTAAGGAATTAAGCAAGTTCAATTACATTGTCCTTTTCAACGTTATGTTCAGTGAAAATATAATCTAAATGAGACAATTTTCCTCTCATATGCACTGCAAAAAGGAAAAACACAAAATAACTCGCGAATGAAATGTTTGTGAAATATTCATTGATTCGTGTCAACCTGATTGAAAATTAAAAAGGAAATTGAGTTCTGGTTTGTTTTTCCATTCATCATTTGACCTTACAGCCGTGTGCACTCGAATAAGAAGATCAGGGAATGTTTTGAGAAAGTATTCCTTTGGATCACCAATTTTATAAAATGTTTCTGGTTGTGGTCTTGGCCGTGGTCGATCGCACCAATGCTGGCCAACATTTCGAATAAGTCTTAAGCATTCTGTCCATGAAGAATCATAATGGGTCTTATTGATTTTCCCATTTTTCTCGTACGTGCAAAAATAATCATAAACATCACTATCCATTTGACTTTTCCAATCAGAGGGTTCGCTATTCAATTGTTGAACGACACTTGAAAGGGCATCATTTGTCTTTATTGGTTGTTGGTTTCCAACTTTACACAACATTTCAAACTTCTCGTAATCCGACAGAAAATATGGGTGTTTCAACGCTTCGTTGGCTGATGGTCTGTCTTTGGGTTGTCGCTCTAACATCCACGAAAGAAGATCTTTGAGCGTGGTATCCTTGATTTCATCCAAGCCAACAGGATTTCCATTCAAAAGGTTGTTTAGTAAATACCGTTCAGGTCCAAATGGATGTTCCCCCTTTGTTGCAACATAATAAGCCACCATTCCAGCGTTCTATTTTTAATAAAAAAGATATCATAACAGTCACAACGTGAGTGGTTGATGGTGAAAGTTAAAAAAACATTTTTTTGTTGGTTGCAAAAATCAACAGGGCTTAAATTTCTACAACGATCACCTACCATAACATCAGACTGTTTCTTGTAGCGGGATGAGTCAATTGCTTTATTTCCTTCATTATACGACTCTGGAGCTATCCAATTTTTAGCTCCTCTCTGTATGCTCTCATATGTCGAAGTTTCATTTGATAATCTTCGACTTATACCGAAGTCAGCGATTAAAAAATTTCCCTGTACATCTCGAAGAACGTTTGAGGGTCTTATATCACGATGAAGTATAGGACTTGGATCACTGTGAAGATCTGCTAAGCCTTTTAAGATGTGCCTCATGACTTTGGGAAGCACTATTTGAAGCTCATCTAAAGTAGAAGATTTCACAAAACTTTCCAACGATTCCTCACATAAATCTAATACCAAATATGCAAATTCATCCTCTGGTTCTTCTTCCAGGTAACAATAGTTCACAACATATTTTGAACGCTTTGCATTGAAGTCGTTCAAAATATCTTTTTCTTGCTTAGCTTGCTCAGTGTAACTATCTCGATTAATCCGTTTTACTGCTTTTCCATAACCGTCTTTTCCCAGACCAAGATAAACACGGGTTCCATCACTTCCTTTGCCAAGTAAAAACTCTTCCGAGAAAATTACAAATATATCATTAACATATTTAACCTTTGTTGGATGTTTCTTACGATATTCCTCCATCTTTTTCAGCTTTTCATGGTGCATTAATGATTTATCAGACAGTATGCCTTAAATTTAAAGAAAAAATTAACCAATGAGAAAATAGCAATGAAGGCATTTTGGCTCACAATTACACACAAAATACACATTATACACAATAAAATAAAATAAAATGCATAAAATAAAATACACTTCGAGACTTATATTATCAAAAAATCTGTGTAGTGTGTGAATATACCGTATGATAAATTGTAAACATATTACTAGACAAATAGGAAAATACTATGGAAATCTGTACGTAAATTCAATTTTCCTATGCATTTACTTAAACAGTTTAATAACATGTATACTAGTAATATATGACAATTTATCACACACTACATAACATTTTAAATTACAAACTGATAATAGTCATTAACAATATGTATATGTGTATGTGTGTATGTATTTTATGTATTTTTATGTGTGTATTTTTATGTGTAATATTATATTATAACCAGCCACCGTAATTGAGGACTTGATTAAGAAGTATCTTAACTTTTTATTACATAACTAAGACTACTAATTCCAATTGTTATTCCCAAACACATATCAAATTACATCTTACCCCTAGGACGATGTTCTGGTCTCAATTGAACTTTACGTTCGTTAGTAACGAAAGCCACTCCTCCGTTATCATGGTAAACCAGACGAACAGAAACATTAAACATGTCTGCATCATATCCCGTGTTCATAAGCACAACGGTAGACTGATGTTTTTTAGTAACAGCTGAGAAAGTCTCAACCACTAACTTTGAAGCATCATCTTTAAAGTAGTAACCTGTAATGCACTTGGAGACTGGTGTATAGATAATTTGCCTATATTCTGTAATTTCTTCATGGATTTGATTAAATTTCCAGTCTTTTAAAAAATTTCCTTTCATGTTGTAGATGAGGAGTCTATAAAATTTGTGAAAACGTTCGTTTCGATAGGTTATCGTCGTTATGGTGTCATCATCAGAGATAGACAAACATTTCACATCATCAATAATTGGGTAATAATAATCTCTCATCCAGCGAGGCTCCAGAAAGACTTCACCATTTTTGTAACATCCACATAAGTAGACATTGAGTAGCTCACCGTCAACAAATGCAATGACAATTCTTTCATCTCGTGTTACGGTTATAAACGCATTTTGCGCGTTTTTGTTGTCGAGGAAATTTAATGTAGATTGTTGGACTGTACCATTTTTTGAAAAAACTGTTAACATGTGATTCCAAAATAGCTTTTGTCTAGAGCCAGAAAGAACATATACCACGCCACTGTTATCAACTGTCATACATTTAACTTCCGAATCATCAATCTCACAACTTTCTTTACACCACGGTTGAAGCTTTCCTGTTTCCCTGTCAAGTTTTTGGAGTTTGTTTCCAGAAAAAATCAGCAGTTCTCCTTCGTTGGTTAAAGTGATTTCTTTATCGACATATAGGTGAGCTTCATCCTTATGAAAATGAGATACTGACCAAGGCGTTGAGATACTTGGAGTTCTTTCTACCGACATGAAATATAAAGGATGGAACGTTTCCTCCAAACATTTAATCAATGGCCATTCAAGAACTGCGTGCCTTTGGGATGTGTGGTTGGAAATAAAATCTGCCATTGATAAATTGATCTTTAGTAAATCGCGAACGACTTTCTGTCTCCTATTTAAATTGAAAAAATGCTCTCCAACCTCAGGCAATGAATTTAAATCTTTTAAGTATAGCATCAAATGATTTCCTGCTGCCTCACTATCATTTAAATGTTGAAGAACAGAGCTTGCGATGCAAATCCTGCACGCTGTTATTTTATCAGCAATTGTTAGTAATGCATCACAAAATTCACGTTTGGCTTTTTCTTCTGCCTGTTTAAACAACTTTTTAGACGACGTCAGTCGTTTTTTTAACTAATTCTGTTACTTCTGTTGACTCCGCATATTTCATACTTTCAATCGCTTCATTAAATAGACTGAGACTTTTTAGTGTTCCTGATAGGGCATTGATCCTACCAAACCAATCCAGTATTTTAAGTACGTGTGCTGGAACACCCGTAGATAAACTTCTTTGTGCTAGATCCATTGTTAATGCAATATTTTGAGAAGCTCAATTCTAGATATTTTTCTTCTTTGTTTTGACAATCTAAAATAGTTTTTGTAATTAGCAATACATAAGGGAATTAAGGAAAGCTAGAATGGTTCATTTGAGAAATAAAAATGCACTTGTCATAGCACAAATTCTTAGGTAACCTCCACAGAATTTTCATTCATGTGACAATACTTGCCGACGATTACTGGTTTTACAATAGCAATAGCATTATTAAAATATTCTTTTGTATTTGACCACCAACATAGCAACCGTGACGTAAAATGCAATGCAGCTATGTTACCCAAACATTTAGGTAGTCTGGATGTTTATCGAACAACTACCATACATAGTTTAAAACTGCTTCAAGCCAAAACTTTGAAATTAGATGTACAGGTCAAAGCCATGTTAGTATGAGATATTCCCAACTTAAATCCGAATTACCTTAATTGTTAGGGTTTAACACTTCTTATTAATTGTAACGACGTTTTTGATTGGCTAACTTCTATACAAGTGGCAGGGGGCTATGTGAAAATATTGTATATTATTTGTGAGAAAGAAGAACATCTTCATATATCAGATGAATAAGGAAAGTTAGTTCATGTAAGATTTCATTCCCAAAACATAGTGCCCGCGCAAAAAAACGTTTTCGAGATTTTTTAAGTTCTTGTAGTTTATTTTTTTATTGGATATCATACCTCTGCCTGATGTTTTATCTCAATTACTTTGCTTTTTTTTCTTCATGCAACAGACCTTTCAACTACACTCACTACAACAGTAGTTACTTCACTAAACGAATGAACGAATAAAAATGAACGAAGAAAATATAATATTGCAAATTGTTTGTGAAATAATATTTATCTCATCATCTCAAAATAGAATATTTATTATTTTTTGTGAAATTTCTACTTGCGCCGAGCGGGAGTAGCAAGACCGCTAGCTAAGCCACTGTTAAATATTCGAAAACGGAACCAATAATTTTAAGCGTACTAAATAATTATGCAACACAGCAACGTTTGTAAACTTACATATGTATTAGTAACTTTTAATTGTAAAACCTTCAATTCTTCACTACTTTTTTGCTTCCATCAGATGAGAACCACCGAAACAAGACAACGAAGACATTTGCAGGTCTTCGTTCATAAATAGACAATTTTAAAATATCTCAGCATGTGTAATGTTTTGTTTGGAAGAAGTTGTGAAATTTCAATTGACTTATTATTCGTGCATGAAATCATCGTTCTTAATATTATATATCTCGATCATTACATATATGTTTGAAGAAATGGCAAATAAATATTTCAAGATTAGTATATGCTTTCTAAATCTCAAGTAACTCGACAAAGAAAACGCTCCATGTTTTGTTTAACAAAGAGTTTGCTTATTCAGTCATGTACAACTTTGAAGTTTCTTTCAAATGACTGCAAGCAAACCTTTATATTTAACGACAACTTTTGATGTTAGCTTTGTGGCTACTTATAACAGAGATGGCCGCTAAAGGGGTACGCAAGGATAGACACTTGGAGAGCATTCAGATGCGTTATGAATCACTAACTACAATTAACAAAATGACTTAAGCTAATAACGAAACAAAGACAAAAGATATAAATTATTCCAAAATTGAAACATGTTCGATTCATGTGCATTTGCTTCGTTGAATTTAGTATAAACGCGTCGAGAAAATAATTGGTTTTATACATATTGATATAGAGTAAATTCTTCATGTCCGTTATAAAGTGCATAGTGTCGCCGATGCTCAGCATGATGCATGCATAATGATTTTGTCTACGAAGCAATACCTGACTTGTTTAAATGTACAACGTATTCGTTGCTGCTTTTCGATATTTTCTGCTGTCCTCTTGAAAAGGAGTTGCGTCAATTAAAAAGCTTAAGCGGCTGTCTTATATGGGGAGAGAAGACTGAGGCATGAAGCATTTAATGACACATACCATACTATGTTATGAGCCTTTGCACTTTTGATAATTTAAACACCGTTCTTAACTTTCTTCAATATTGTGATTATCACAGCAGGAAAAACATGAGGCAAATATAGTTGACTTTAGTTATCTTTTAAACTATAAAATTTTTGTGTTGTTGATGAAGATCTAATGTCTACGTCTTATATATTGTAGACAATAGAGAAGAGAACAAGTTATTTTGAGAGAACAAGCTATTTTGGAATTGTCTTGTGTTTGCTCAGTATATTGCTTCTAAGAAACCGGCCACGAAAACTGCTTTCACTTTGATTATATCTAAACATATTTATCATCAATTTTCATTACTTTATGTAGACTTGACTGGCTCAAAGTTCGCAAACACTAAGAATACGAAAGATTTTGCAAATCCAGGATTGGTCTGGTACATCACATACGGTCAGATCGTCCATCAAATAATCAAAATTAAATTAGCAATTTTTCGTTTTGCAATTTTAATTCAAACCTTTGGAATACCAACTGAAAATTTTTCATCATCATCACAGCAGACAAGAGAAAGTACATAGGGAAACAGGGTTGAGTAAAGTATTAAAAATCGTAGCATAGCCTGGTTAAAGTTTACAAGTATATGTTGTACTCTTTACTTGGATATGGTAATGGAAAAATACGAAACGATATTTCGTATAGATTTGTTAAAGCATGAATATTTATTGTTTTAATCAATGTAATCAAGCGATTTGTGCATGGAGAGGGATAATTTAATAAGAAAACTGATAAATCATTATAGGGAGCAAGGCTTTTAAGTATTGAAGCAAATTTCAACTTCTTAGCGCTTTATTGTGTATCATTAGATATTCGAAAATGAAACCAATAATTTTAAGCGTAATATGCAATTATGCAACACAATATGTAAACTGTAAACTTACTTATATATTTGTAACTTTTGATTGTAAACCTTTCTCTTCTTCACTACTTTTTTGTGGATATTCCTGCTCATTTTTGTTTGGAAGCATGTTGAACAGTTCGTATGAACAAAGCTCGAATTCCATATTAAATATCAGTAACATAATCCGGTGTTGATGTTAGACAATACATCATTGCCCTTCAGTGGAAAGCGGGATGCTTGTAACAATCTATGTTTAACATCGATATTGGATTCATTCTTTTGCAATGGAAAGCGGAATGCTGTCACTGAAGGGCAATGATGTGTTTTCTAACATTAACACCGTATTATGTCTCTGATATTTAATATGGATTTTGAGATTTGTCCTTATGAACTGTTCAACATGCTTCCAAACAAAAATGAGCAGGAATATTCAGTCGATTAATCTATGATAAACCTTTCACCTTTTTACTCTGCTATACGTATAAGACTCTCTGCTTTTAAGTAGACTTGTCTCGTTTATAAGGAAAACTGATAAATCATTGTAGGGAAAGAAGCTTTTAAATATTGAAGCCAATTTCTACTTCTTAGCGCTTTATTGTGTATCATTAGATATTCGAAAATGAAACCAATAATTTTAAGCGTAATAAGCAATTAGGCAACACAATATGTAAACTGTAAACTTACTTATATATTTGTAACTTTTGATTGTAATCCTTTCTCTTCTTCACTACTTCTTTGCTTCCGTCAGATGAGAACAAGGCAAGTACTGTTTGTAGGTCTTACTTGATAAATAAACAATTTTAAAATATCTCAGCATGTATAATGTTTCGATTGGAGAAATATGTGAATTTTTAATTAATTATTATTCGTGCATGAAATCATCGTTCTTCAATTTTATATAACTAGATCATGACATGCATATTTGAAGAAATGGCAAATAAATGTTATAGTATTAGCATATGCTTTCTAAATCTCGAGTAACTCCACAAAGAAAGCATTTCATGTTTTTTTTGCAAATAGCTAGCTTTTTTAATCCTATACAACTAGAAGTTTCTTCTTTCAAATGACAACAAACAAACCTGTATTTTAACGGCAACTTTTGATGTCTATTGAGGCAGCTGTTGTGGATATTAATAGCCGAGATGGCTGCAAAGATAGAGACTGAAAGAGCAGTCAGATATGTTATTAATCTCTAACTACAGTTAGCTAAATGACAAAGGCTAATAACAAAACTAAGAAGAAATATCGACTTAAATAATTCCAAAAATTGAAGCATGTTCGATTCATGTACATTTACTGCGTTGAATCAAGCTTTAACGGGAAGAGCCATTGGTAGAGCAAATAGTTTGTTGCATAAATACTGGTAGAGTAAATATTTCATATCTGTAATAAACAGTAATATGACTGTATACTACAAGACAAATAAAATATCTCTACATCACTTTCTAGAGCTGTAGTTCTCGTACTAAATTTTAGTGCTTTGTAGCTGCTCATGCATAACATACAATATCATGCTGTGTGTGTAAAGAAAATATGTAAAATGGACTGACGAATCCTAACAGTTTATAGCGCTACGAAACTAGTTCATATACTCTATTCATGTACGCTACAAATGCAATTCTCATTCAAGGCAGTTCTTTCTGTGAAGCTCAAAATCAAACATACGTTCGGACTGTTCTAGAATGCCATTGACATTGTTGTTGAGAGTTGTCAGTATAAAAATGAAAATCATAAAACAAAAATTCAAACATTCCTGGTGTAAGATATTCCATAAAAGTTTTCAAATACTGGGTAGGGTGAAGAAAAACGTCATCGCTCACGTACTTGGTGTAAACTGTGAAGCTAAACTCTTAACCAGTTTTATGTAAACTTAAATGACGTACTACAACATTGCAAATGACACACAATTGCTATGGTCAGTGGACATAATCATTGAGTTCTATAAGACCTGGAGGGAACAAGGGGCCTGGACCAGTGAACTCGACATTTGAATAACTGGAATGATAACCGAAGCCAAAAACTGAAGCCAAAAAAATATTTGTCGTCATCATTCGTCATCACACTTCAGGCTCTAGTCTCTCGCGTGTTCATTTTGATTTTTTTAAATCATTTGTCCCTTCATAATGGTAGAGTTCGGATCTTGATCAGAGCGTAAGAATAACGAAATTTTTGGATTGAAAAGGTTCACGGAAAGTGAATCAAAGTGATAAATCGCGAAGCAAGGTTAGGTGGACTTGGTTGTTCTGCTCTAACGTTGCGGTTTTCCTTTAAAACATATCAAAGCCTTAAAGGATATTCAATTATTGATATCGAGGTGACAACCATTTAGTATTTCAAGCACTATCAAAATCGATGAAAAATACAATCGCTCTGTAAAAAGTAGAAATACGAGTTATAGACTCAATATTTTTTATGAAACTGGATATTCAAGTTGTTTTTTTTCTTCAGAAAAACAGATCTTTAAATTCACTGAAATGACAAAAAAAGACAAACACTGTCTGACACCGTTCGAAAATTTACCTTCCGATGTAAGAAAAATTTTTGCTTCAATATTTTCTTGTCCTATTCTCTTATTGTATTGTCTTTTTAGCATACAGTTTAATTTTTAGTTGGCTTTTCAGCGTTACAAGTTGTAAGTTACAACGAACTCACTGTAGTAAAGTTTCAGCTGTAAAAAATAACCTTTTGCGAAGAGTTGGCCTTGTGTGTTGTTTGTCGTGATGTTGTTTATATGTTTATGCTTTTGCTATTTGTATTCAAATTTATATTGGCCGTGTATCTTTGGCACTCAGGGGAATAATACTGACGTACAAACCGCGTGAATATTCGACTTTGAAGGACTGGAACGGACGTACAAACCGCGCAAGAGACTAGGACTTTGGCTTCAATTTTATATCTATAAAATGTATTGTCGTTATCATTCCAATATATATATATATGTTTAGGGCAGTGGCTAGACTTAGCTTGGAGCCGGTCTAGATTGGAGCCGTAAGGCGCCTCCTTCCCTCCACTAGCCTTAGGTGCGCACCTTAGGCAAGTGCTAGTACACCCTTTGCCTCCCTTGCCAGGGTCACGGCTCGGCAGATGAGCCACTAGAGTGCTAACATTGGCGGTTGTGATAGTCAAATCGGCTTCAGTTTCGGCAAAATGCAACGAGCTTCTCTGTGGTCACCGACCAGGGCGGTAGGGCTCCACGACGAGCTCAGCGGCCATTATGTCCTCGTGCCTCCAAGGTAGGTTTTTGAGCCAGAGGCTAGGACAAGGACAGTCTGATGTAAAACCTACGACCCGTGGATCTCGCTGTCACCGTCCCAGCTCGCTGGGCCATGACAGATGAACCAAGATGTAAAGGGTGGAGACAGTACTGCGCACACTGCACTTCACTTTAAAACTCATCTGCGCAGTCTCGAAGGATACATTCACGTCTGCGACGCCTTCAACTCTATGAAGTCCTGTAACGATGGGAAAGGGGCGAAACCGGCAGGTGAAAGATGCCACTGGAAGCCGCAGTCTCAATCCTGCATACAGGCGGTTTGAGATATTGGTCGCCTGATGTTGACCCGAGATGACAACATCACTCAGCAGCACCTTGAACGACCAAGAAGCCCTTTTTAGGGACAGCACTGCTTGCTCCACAAGGAGAGGGACCTAGAAAAGGTGGCCTAACCAAAGCTCGTCTCTAATCCTCCCAGTTGGCTTGCCGTGGTCAACGGGCATCTTTACTAGTGGTCGAACAACAAGAAAGAAAGGAAGGTATGGGTGCAAAAGCACTGAAACTGGCATGTTGGAACATCAGAACCATGCTTGACAAAGCTGACAGCAACAGACCTGAAAGTCACTCTGCTTTGATTGCACATGAACTGTCCAGGCTAGATGTCGACATTGCTGCCCTCAGCGAAGTTCGCTTCCCCGAAGAAGGCAGCCTTCAGGAGCATGGCGCCGGATATACCCTCTTGGCGTCTCGCAGGCGTCGGCTTCATGGTAACAACCTCCATTGCTTCCAAGTTGGAAAACCTGCCAACTGGTTATTCTGACCGCATCATGTCCATGCGCCTCCCTCTGAAGAACGAAAAGTATGCCACGCTCTTCAGTGTGTATGCCCCAACTCTTCAATCTGTGCCTGCAGAAAAAGACAAGTTCTACTCAGAGCTCTGCAGAGTTCTTCGAAGCACCTCCGTAGACGATAAGGTGATAATCCTTGGCGACTTCAACGCCAGAGTGGGACAAGCCGCTGTTGCCTGGAAAGGAGTGCTTGGCAGACATCGCGTTGGTAACTGCAATGACAACGGGCGCTTGCTGCTGGAGTTTTGCTTGGAGCAGCAACTTGTCATCACCAACACCATCTTCCAACAAAAGGGCAGTCTGAAGACAACCTGGATGCATCCTCAGTCCAAACACTGGCACCTTATTGACTACGTTCTAGTGCGCCAACGAGACCTCCAAGACGTCTTACATACCAGAGTGAAGCCCAGCGCAGAATGTCACATTGACCATCGCCTCGTGCGCTGCAAACTCAGACTTCCCTTCAAACCTAAACCAAGAAAGGGAGGGCCCCCAAAGAAAATGTTGAAGCTCAGTAGGCTACAATCAGCTGTAGTGAGAGCTGACTTCCAGAGCTGCTTGCAGTTTAAGCTTGAAAACGACGGCTGCCCAGAAGATCCCTCACCTGATTCAATTTGGCTTCATTTAAAAAGAGCCATACTGCAGACATCAGAAAAGTCCTGTGGTTCACCACTAAAAAGAACGAAGACTGGTTTGACGAACACAACAAGGAGATCCTGGAATTGCTGGCTAAGAAGAGATCAGCCCACCAGGCTCACCTGGCTCAGCCGTCCTGTCCCGTGACGAAAGCTGCCTTCCGCTACACGTACAGCAACCTCCAGCGGAAGCTTCGAGAGATTAAGAACGAGTGGTGGATCAACCTCGCAGAACGAACTCAGTAATGGCTTCAACTCGGCAATGGTGAATCAACCTACAGAGGCTTCTACCAAGCCCTTAAGACAGTGTACGGCCCTACGCACCACGCCCAGAGTCCTTTGCGCAGTGCGGACGGTAAGGCGCTCCTCGCAGACAGGGCGTCTATCCTGAGTCGCTGGTCCGAGCACTTCCACGCCCTCTTCAGCGCTGATCGAGTCGTTCAGGACTCAGCAATCCTTCGTATCCCTCAGCTCCCAGTTATAGTGGAATTGGACGAACAACCCTCTATGAAAGAACTTACAGAAGCCATAGAGAAGATAAAGAGTGGCAAGGCAGCAGGATTTGATGGCATCCCACCAGAGATCTGGAAAGATGGAGGTCCAGCGTTACACAGAAAGCTCCACGAACTCCTCGTCTGTTGTTGGGAACAAGGAAAGCTTCCAAGAGACCTCCGTGATGCAGTCATCGTTACCTTGTATAAAAACAAGGGGGAAAGTCAGTCTGCTCCAAGTACCGGGGGATCACTCTGCTCTCAATTGCAGGAAAAATCCTTGCTCGTGTGCTCCTGAACAGGCTAATACCTACCATCGCAAAAGACCACCTCCCAGAAAACCAGTGTAGCTTCAGAGCAAACAGGGGTACCACTGACAAGGTCTTCGCCCTCAGGCAACTCCTAAAGAAGTGCCGGGAACAGAACAAAGGACTCTATGTAACGTTTGTGAGCCTGCCTTCGACACAGTGAGAAGGAAGGGACTTTGGCTCATTATGGAGCACCTCGGCTGCCCCCCAAAGTTCCTCAGTATGATTATCGAGCTGCATGAAGACCATAGCGGCCAAGTCAGGTTGAACA